GAACACTTAAATACTTCACTTGAATAAAATTTTAAAAGTACCTCATACAAATCAACCAAAATATACTTCAATAAGTGGAGAAGCAAATAAACTATAGTATATCCAGACAATGATATTTTATTGGGCAGTAAAAAAAAAATGAGCTATCAAGTCGTGAAAAAATGTGGTAGAATCTGAAATGTATATTACTAAATGAAAAGGCTAATCATAAATGGCTATATATTGCATAATTCCAAAGATGTGACATTCCAGAAAAGGCAAAACTATGGAGACAGTAAAAAGATTTGTGGTTGCCAGGAGATAGGGCATAGGTAAGGATACACAGAGGAAGCTGGGAAAATTTTTAGAATAGTAAAATACTTTGTATGAAGTTATAATTGTGGATATGAGTCATGCTATATTTATTCAAACACATAGAATGCACAAAAACAAGAGTGAATCCAATGTAAACTGTGGAGGTTAGGTGAGAGTGATGTGCCAGTGTAGGTTCATGGACTGTAACAAATATACCACTTTGTTAAGAGCCATTGACGATGGGATGGGATGGCTATGCATGTGTGGGTCAGGTAATACCTGGGAATCTCTGTACTCCCTCATTTTTGTAATGAACACAGAATTTCTCTAAAAATAAAATAAAGTCTCACAAAATAAAGAAGTATAGGATACAGGTTTTTTTAATATTTTTTAAATTTATTTATCTTTAGAGGGGAAGGGAAGGAGAGAGGGAGAGAAGTATCAATGTATGGTTGCCTTTCATGTGTCCCCTGCTGGGAAGTGGCCTGCAGGGAACCGGTCTGCAACCCCAGTATGTGCCATGACTGGGAATCGAACCTCGATTGTCTGGTTCGCAAGCCCGTGCTCAATCCACTGAGCTACACCAGCCAGAGCAAGATACAGTTTTATGTAAGGATAGTATCAAAGTGTAAATGCAGTTAGAAAGAATCTTTAAGATAGTCTTTATTACTTCCAAATAGTAATACTTCATACTTTGACTATTCTGTATGTCTTGGTGAATTTGATTATCACAGCTCTGTGAGATAGGTCCTATTATAGTTTATATTTTTCAGGTTATGAAAAGGTGATTCAGAGAGGCTAAGTACATTATCAGAGCCCACTGAGGTATTGGGCATTAGAACCAGATTTCAAACCAAGTAGTCAAGTTCATGCTCAAGACTTTTTGCTCTTAACAAGGTCCCTAAATTGTCTCTTAGTATGATCTTTATGTTTCACCGATGTCACCCCAGAAATGACAGGGAATAAAACTTCACTTTGGGAGATGTAGGATTAGAAGAGGAGAAATAGCAGAAAGATTTGAAACAATGAAAATTGTATCTGGCACAGAAAAACAAATTCAAGAGAAATATAACTATTCAATTATAAATAAATATTAGCTCACATAATGTAAATTAATCAGTCCTGCTTTTAATGAGTGATTTTGCTCTCATAAAAAGCTAAAATAAAATGAAGGCAGGACATAGTCTAAAAAATGGAGATTAAAGAGAAGCAGAATTTAAAAAAAAAAGCCAAATGTCTATTGCTAATGACTTATACAAGGAATTCTTCCAGGGACAATATAAGAGATAAATATTCTTTCCAAAAAAGAGAGGTCTGTGAGGGGGATATTTGTTCTCTATTACCTTCTGCTTCTCAGACTTTGAAGAACCGTTCTATGTGCACTTCATCCATTTGGCAAACTAATGTAAGGGCAACAGAATATATCGACTCTGATATTGTTGAGCTCTGAACCAATAAATGCCATGAGGTCCAACATGTGATCATTTTTAGTAAGCCCTCTTCCTTGAGCCAGTGTTTGTTAGTGACCTATTCATGCCTGGGAAAGACATCCCTGAATGATACCATGAAAAACCATAGAGCACCACATGCAGCTGTGATGGCTGAGCACCGTGTAATTTTAGGGTGGACCATTCATATGGTGGAGATGTGAAAGCCCCACCCAAAAGATATTTGATTAATAGAAAATTGTCCTGGTTCATGTAAACATGCAATGACTGCCTATTATAGTGACTAGACTGATAAAGGGAACCATGTATCAGAAATATTTATCAACTGTATGAGGAGAAATATCACTAATCAAAACACACAGTTTGCCATTGAAAGAACTCCTGAAATACAAGAGAGGATACTAATTAAGAAGCATGAATATGAAAGTTAAATGTTAGTATCCGTAGAATAAAAAATAATCTCTGATTCATGAAATTTTTAATAATTCACAATAATCATAATATTCCCAAGTTTCAAATTGTATCTATGTGTAGTTTCCTATTGGAGAAAGGAACTAGTGCATTTTCTGTAGAATATACCTATGTAATCTTTATCTATCTATCTAATTTATGTAGATTCCTTGGGGAAATTGTAAGCACTAGAGAGCTGAAAAAGAATGCTGTCAGGTAAGGAGGTCCCAGAAGTCATATAACAGGAGGCTCTACATTCTAATGTCTAGTATGCAAATGGCACACCCTGGAACAATGAGGGCCACACCCTTCACAAAACCATCTGGTGTTTCTCTGGTTCCCTATATGTCCTATTTGATCAGAAGTTTTCATTTATCTACTGTGTATCTTACCTTTATCAACTCCTGGATGATAAGGATTAAAATATTTGAATGACACTATTTAAATCTCAAAAAACTTGCCTAACATAAAACATGAAATAATAGCAAAATATATAACCCAGTGTGTCTGTCTATTTATATAGTTCATAGCTCAATATACTAATTTGTAACTCAGAATACTACAACTCAATCAATCATAGAATAAACAAAGTAAAAATCAGTTTTTGTTCTGCCATAAAAGATGTTGGCATTTTTCAAATTTGCTTCTTCATGGAAATATTTATTGACCATAACAGTCAATTAAATCTATAGAAATTTTGGACTTACTTCTTAAAAAATTGATTCAGAAGTAGAACAGTACAGAGATTTCTTTCAGAACTTTATTGTTTTACAGTCCTTACATTTTTCCATGTTTCCTGTAGTCATAAAGAATGACATACCTGTTGAGTAAATGTGGTATCTATTTCTTGCAGAAATGATTATACCAAATTAGCTTCCTGATTTCAGATCTAGTAATAATCACATTTATTAATTTTTATGTTTGATAAATTTAATATATATTTTATAGCAATTTATAGAGATATAATTCACAGACTACATATGAGGTTTATTTTAAGGATGCAAGCCCAGTTCAATATTCAAATATCATTAATGTAATTTATCATATCAACAGAATTAAGAAGAAAATATTGATACAGAAAGAGCACTTAATGAAATTTAGTATCTATTTATAGCAGAAAATTAAACTCTCAGCAATTTAAGATGGAAAGAAACTTTCAACTAGAAACTTTATGGTAGAATACATCTACAATAAAACTTACAGTCAACACCCTATTTAATCATGAAAGAATATATGACTTCTCACTAAGACAGGAAAAAGACTTTTTGTCACTATAAATATCACATATCATAATTGAAATCCCAGCTTGTACTATAAGATGAAAGTAATAAATAAAAAGATATAACAATTTGAAAAAATAAATAAAATGTTCTGTATTTGAAGATGACATGATTGTTTATATAGAAAATGAATCTTCAAAAGTTAATATAACTAATAATTGAATATAACAAAGTCACAGTAAGCAAGGCCAACACACACAATTCTAATACATTTCAGTATATAAGCAATACATAGTTGGAAGTTTAAGTAAATATATATAAATCTAAAAGTTCACTCACTAGATTGCCAGTTTATTACAAAGGATATCAAAGAATATGAATCAACAGCCAGATGGAGAGATACTTAAAGCTAAGTTCCAAGTGCAAGACCTTCTGTTCTTGAGTTTGAGGTCCAGCAGGGTGACACATGGCAGCATTCTGGTTCAACAACCAGAAAGCTCTCCACACCCCGTATTTTGGGCTTTTATAGGGACTTCACTCCACAGGCAAGGGGAGTTAAATCATTGGTCATTGGTTATGGATTCAACCTCCAGCCCTCTGCCTTCCTTGGAAATGGTGGTTGGTTCTCCTGGTAACCAGCCCCCAAACAGATGCACTTTCTAAAATCACCTCAGTAACATAACAAAAGATAGCTTCCAGGTTCTCTACACTTAGGAAATTCTACCCAAGTTTATTGTGTATATTAATGAGCTAATCCTTCCACATATCCATGACCCAATGACCAGCCCTACACATTTCCTCTTTGACATGGCCACACTGTAAAGCAAAGGATTTGTAATCACCATGTAACAATCATATGCCATTACTGACATCAAGAAACCTGTGGTAACACACTCCAAAACACAAATGCTGTACCATGCAAGCAAAAAAAAATAGTTCCCTTCAAACCAGGAGCTTTATCAGCATTTGGGGTGATAAAAGGGTTTTAGGAGCTATGCTGGAATCCAGGACAAAGACCAAATATATTTTTCTTATTATAAATTGCAATATCATAACCACTTATTAAATGAGTTAAAATATAAGTCAATAAAGGCAAATTTTAGCTAGAGCATAACTGTATTCTTGGAAATCTGAGAACCAATATACTCTTTTCCTTGAAAGAACTATGTTTTTATGTTCTTAAATGAGAGTATGATTATATAATTGTTTTTTCCAAATAACAGAAAAATATAAATGTAGTACTGGATTTAGTGTTGATTTATAGATTGATAACCTTGACTATCAGGAGACCAATGTCATAGGGTATTATTTTTGTGAGACAGCTGTATGAATTAAACAAGTTTTGTTTATTGGCTGCCTCCTCACACGACCCTGCAGGCAGGTGCTTCAAGCAGTGCAGTTACATGGGTTTCTGGCTACTTTGCTGTACATCTACAACTGGTGTAGAATAGTATTGCATGTAAACTATGGTTGAATTTTTTTAGGAATTTAAAAAAGGAAAAATTTTATGTATCCTTAAAGACTTTACATTCATGGAATTATAGAAAGTGAGGAGCAACTGGTAGGATGGGGTAGTATTTACTATGACTTAAACTCTACAGGGGAAACGTTTCATCTCTAAGGCCCTTTTCACAGCTTCCTTTACCTCTTTGTTTCTCAGACTATAAATCAGTGGGTTTAACATGGGGATGACTAGTGTATAGAACACAGAAATGACCTTTTCTTGTTCTACAGAATACTGGGAGCTTGGCTGAATGTAACTAAAGCTTATGGTACCATAGAATATGGTCACAACAGTCAAGTGAGAAGCACAGGTGGTGAAGGCTTTCCATCTGCCTGCTGCTGAGTGGATTCTCAGGATAGCAAGAACAATGAACATGTAGGAAATCATCACAACCAAGAAGGTGGCGTCAATGGCTCCAGAGAAAGTTAAGAGCAATAACTCATTCACGGTGGTGTCAGAACATGACAGCTTTAGGAGTGAGGGAATATCACAGAAGAAGTGGCTGACAACATTCAGCCTACAGAAGGACAGTCTGCCCAGACTCACTGTGTGTACTAAAGAGTTAACTGTTCCACATATCCATGACCCAATGACCAGCCCTACACACTTCCTTTTAGACATGGCCACACTGTAAAGCAAAGGATTTGCAATCGCCACGTAACGATCATAGGCCATTACTGATAGCAAAAAACCTTCTGTGGTAATAAATATCCCAAAACACAAATGCTGTACTATGCAAGCAGAAAAAGAGATGGTTCCCTTCACAACCAGGAGGTTTATCAGCATTTTGGGTGCAATGGCAGATGCATAGCAGGCATCTACAAAAGAAAGGCAGCTGAGGAAAAAGTACATGGGTGTGTGGAGCTTGGGAGTGATTCGGATTAAGATGATCATGCTCAGATTTCCCACCAAGGTAACGGCATAAATCACCAAGAACAACACAAAAAGCACAACTTTCAGTTCCGGGTGGTCTGTCAATCCCAAAAGAATAAACTCAGTCACCACCGTATCATTCTTTTCAGTCATTTGTTTGTTTCTTTTCATAAGATCTGTTGTGAAAAAACAGAGATTACAATATATTAGGGAAATATATCATATGTTATATAGTAGGGAATACAGATACAGACAATTACTGATGTTCCCCATTGGATAAAAAATATCCTTTCTTTGAATCTGAGATTTTTCATCAATAAAACTAATAAGTGGATAAAATGGTCTCTAAGTTCATTCCAGTGATGTTGCTTTATATGATTATAGTCCATAGAAACCAGAAGGTGAAAAAACTCTTTGTTTCTCACAGCTTCAGTCTGCCACTAACGTGTCCACTTTAAGACTAAAGTTACACCAAGCACTAAGACACTAATGATGATTGAAATTAATAGCATGCATACCATTAGAAAAGTAAATAGCTATTCTATGTATTTCTCCTCTGATTTTGTTCTGAAGTAGGAAATTATTTAATGAGAAGAGTCTGACCTGGCTGGTGTAGCTCAGTGGATAGAATGCGGGCCTGCAAACCAAACAATCGTGGTTCAATTCCCAGTCAGGGCACATGCCTGGGTTGCAGACCAGTTCCCTGCAGGCCAGTTCTCAGCAGGGGACACATGAAAGGCAACCATACATTGATGTTTCTCTCCCTCTCTCCTTCCCTTCCCCTCTAAAGATAAATAAATAAAATATTTTTAAAAAGAAGAGTCTGAAAATTACATTTATTTTAAACTTAGATATGGCAGTGATCTCAATGACATTATTATAGACAGCAAAATGACCACCTCATGGGTTAAGAGGGTGCAGGTACCTATAGTAATGACATTTAAAAATGCCAAGGATTCTGGCTTCTGTTTCCATGAAAGGCATTTGAGTGTCAACACCTACTTTAAAACATATGAAACAAAAGCCTGTCTTTGGCATGATAACCAGTAAAATTAGCCAGGATGCCTGCTTCAGGACAATCTTCCTCATGTTCATGATAGAAAAACAGCCTTGGAAGGTTGTTCACTCTGAGACCTATGACACAGAATCCCGTATCTTGCCTGTTTGGACCAGATAGAGGCTTTCAGCTTTCCCTGAGATCTCAAATAATTTTAGGAGACTTTAAAAACACAAGAATTAGGAATGAGAAAATATATACTCACCAAGTGCTCTGTGATACTTCTTTATATTTTGCATCCTATAATAGATAGTTTAAACAACTTAAGTCTTTCTAAAAATGCAGTTTCCATTGGATTATTGGATAACTATACTTTTTACTCAGAGCTGTTTATTTGTGTTTCAGAATTAACTGTCTCTTGCTTCTTCTCTATTAAGTTGCGGTTTCATTTTAGAAACTATAATAAAGAAAATATTATTATGTTGGTTTATCTGTAATCTATACCATCTGTCTATTTTAATTAATACATTTAATTGCCACAATGATGAGAAAGTTGGAATCCATTAACTGTGGGTCAAATCCTATTGTTGACAACAATTGGTTTTATTTCATTAAACAATGTTATTTAACTTCCCAGATTCATGATGTAATTATATTTAGTTCTCCAAGATTGCTGAGAGGATCGAAAAAGACAACTCCAGTAAAGTATTTACTGTTCTTTGAGTACACTAAACACTTAAATAGATAGCTTCATAGCTATCTATTTAACTAGTTGAAATAGAGCTAGATAAAATAGTGATATACATTTAGTGTACTATATATTTTGGAACATGGCGATCAGTATTAAACTTCAAAACCACTGTAATTGAAGAATTTCTTTTTTTATCATTTCTGCAATTCTTAAGAACTATTTTTATCTGTTTGTTTATTTTAGTAATCAAATGGATATCTTAAGTTATCATTTGCAAACTAACCTTGTTAAATGTGTGATAAATGAAATAAATACCTATATTTTTCATATCTAACATGCTCCTTACAGATTACAAGCAGATTTGACAATATGGAAGAGTACTTTCAACAACTATTCAGAACTACATTTTCTATCATAGAGCTGTCTATCACATGCTCTTTCTTCTGCTAATCTTAGAGACATAATGGAAATTGTTAATAAAATATCACTTGTGGAATTTTATTGTTAACTATAATTTAGGAAACAGCATGTTTAAAAGGTATTAGAAATTAACTACCCAAATGTAAAACTAATAACTTTAGTGGCAAAATTTGATGGCAACATTGTAAAGTAAATTACATAATTACATGAACTTTGCGAATCAAAACACCAATAAGATTCTATCACATTTAAATTTCCAATCATTTGTCAAATGAGTTCTAAATATAAAAAAAATTAAAAGAAATAGAAAGACACTAAAAATGAATTTAACTTACCGATGATATTTAAAAGTTTAGGATATTAGTTTATTTAGAAAGCTCACATCTATGTCCAAGGTTTCTTACTCTCCTCTTAGAAATGAAATCAGTTAATATATTTTTTGAGATTCAGAATAATCAATATTTTAATGACAGATAACTGAATAACTCTAGGTTTTAGATAGATATGTATATCAAGTAAAAAAACAAAAAACAAAAAATATTTTTAAAAATGTAATGATGGTGTTCCATCTGCAATTTCTTCCTCACTGAGGACAAACTTGAAAGAAGAAACAAGTATGTGTGTGTATATATATATATATATATATATATATATATATATACATACACATACATGCACATATATACTTCTAATGAGACCAGAATCCCTGTAGTTCAGACACCAATTATACTGAAGAAATTACAACAAAAAATTATACTCTGGATTGCACTGTGGTTTCTCAAGAGACTTTCTCAAGGTATCTCAGTGGAACTGGTTTCCCTAAGTTGTGTGATGTAAAAAATCTTACTAAGAATAAAAGGCAGCATAGAACCAAGGGTGAAAACAAAGCAGAAATGGTGATTGTAGATAACATACATAAAGTGGATAGTATTTTATTAAGGTATAATATGGACTGGGATTTCCTTTGTAAGGCTAGAATGTGCTAGATTGAATCCGGCTTGATAATGGCTATTTCTAAAGAGCCGGGGAGCAATACCTGGAAACATTATAAATAAAATTGCATCTTCTCAGGAAAAAAAAAAAGAGCCTTATCTGCAAATCAGTAACCACATTTCCTCACACAGGTTGAAATTTGGATTTTGCCATCTGCACAAGGGAGGAAGCTTCAGGCTGAAAAAATGAGTGTAAAGTGGTCTGAGTAGTAGCACCATAGCCACTAGAAGTGACTTTACAGGATTGTTACAGGGAAGGTCCCATAAAAGACATAATTTCTCAGGATGCTTTACCATCCAGTTGCAAAGCATAATGAAAAAGAACATGTCTATATCAAGATTCTAGAAAGCAATAAATGTATTTAAAATGTTTTTAAGTCAAATAGATAAAAGGAGGAAAGGCAAAATTAATAAGCCTTTACCAAAAAGACCAGGGTTATAAGTTAATATACTGACAATGGTCTAAGCAAGGATCAGGAGGAATGAATGAATGAATGAACAATACCTATGAAAAAATATTTAGCTGGTCAAAGGAAGTTGTGTCTTGGTGTGGGAAACAAATGGAGCCCACTGTTACAGGAGGATTAGATCATGATAAGTAACTATTTTGAGGAAGAGATGTTGAAGCCAGCCACTAATAATTTTTTAAAGTATCCTTCATAAAACAACAGGAAGCATTTCTCCATCCCTCTACAAGTGCTCACAGAAACCAGTTAGCACCTATTGAACCCGAGTCTGTGCAGTTAACAATCAAATGAACCTAATCTGACCTCCCGAGCACACAGCAACCATGGAATTCAAGCAACAGAGGTGCTACTGTTTGCCATCCATAGACCATTAAACAGTGTGAAATCCCCCAACGAGGAAGATCTGGGGCCCAAACCAATTCTCACACATATGGAAGGTGTAGAGGAGGAAGGCATGAGTACCATTTATGAGAGATGAATTAGACAATCTTATCTCAGATTTTGCTCTCAATAAGGTTATATTGAACATTATCCAAGAGTGGTGAGATCTCACCTCAGGAAACACTACTATTGAGGCAATCATTGAGCACATTGTATTCCAATAACTGTTACAAAGGTTTGTCATATGAAAGAACAAAAATATATATATTACTCATTTTAGGGTGAGGCATTAATTTCATATCTCTTAGTTATCAATCAGGTGACTTTGGGCAAACTACATGGGTTGTATGAGCTTGAGGTCCTCAGAATATGAGAATAGTGTATCTATCTCACACAGGTCTATAATATATTTCTAACCCAGTGTTTACTACATATTTTTATTTCAATAATAAATTCAAATAAAAAATTTGATATGATGTCATTTATAAGTTTACCACAACTTTTGGAATGATGCCAAATTTATTGGGCTAAATTGATGTCAAAGTATTTTCTGTAGTTATTTTAATCATTGATGACTCTGAGTGAGTGAGTACCTTTATGTCATTTAGGTCTCCGTGGACTGTTCAGATCATTTATGTTGTTTAGTGGCTTACCTCGAATTGTTCCTCACATGTTCTCACCAGGGAATGGGTAGGGTGTCCTGGGTAATGTGTGCCACGAGGCACTATTCTAAAAATCTCTCAGGTGACGTGAGTATGAATTATATGCCACTTCTTCAGGGAGTATCTCAAAGAAGAACAAGAAACATAAATTATCTCTACTTAAAGTAAAAGTAACTTAGGAGAAGAAAAGCCAATTCTTCATTAAAGGTCAGTGTATAGGATTTGTGTTTGTTTTATCACCTGGATGTTGGTAATTTTCCATGATTCCCATCTTCTGATTATGGACATTCTTATAGCTACTGACAGCTGACTCTAAACTACCACAAAAAATTTATTTTCTTCTTTATTAGCTGGAATTGCCTGGCATAGAATGGTATTTTTATGGCACTAAATTTTATTAATTGACTAGATTCATAGATCTATTTTATTTATGAAAGTTGCTAGTGGCATTTGGATATTACAAGTGAATAGAGAATTATTAATATCATTAAAAAATCACTAATCTCATCTATTAGAACTTATTAAAGTTTGGACTCCAAACAA